GGAAAGGAAACAAAAGAAGCAAAAAAGTTAAAACCCAAGCTGAAACGCATCAGGCGAGCCGGCAAAAAAGTTAAAACCCAAGCTGAAACGCATCAGGCGAACTTGAAGTGATTAGGTTAACTGCATGAACGGTTGTTTCTTCACACTTACCTTATGTGCTGAATACCGTAAATCATCGTAAGTTTTGCATAAAAGGAAATAAACAATTTCCGTTTAGCGGTTTTTATTTGAAAGTGACTCAGCTGTTCTGTAAGTAATTTTCGCGCCAAAAATTTAAGTGCCCGTGCACGAAAACCATGCGTACATGGAGGCTGAATTTGAAGCCTTTAAGTTGTATTTGGACGGAGAATACTCTAAAATCTCAGCTTCCCAGCTTTTCTGTTTCCCGAGTTAGCCATTTCCCCGCCAAAAAAGTTTCAGGGGCCGTACGCAAGAATCCTGCTTGCCTGGGGGCTGAATTTGATAACTTCAAGTCGCACACGCGCTGGGAACATCCCTTGAAAATTTCAGCATCGCAGCTTTACTAGTTTCCGAGTTAGCCATTTTCCCACCAAAAAAATTCAACAAGACCGAACGTGAGAAGTACGTACGACTGTGGGCTGAATTTGATAGGTTTATGTTGTACTTATGTTAGCAACATTCCTTGAAAATTTCAGCCTCCCGGCTTTCCTAATTCCAAGGCTAGCCGTTTTCCCGCCAGGGAAGTTTCACGGGGCCATATATGAGAACCGCGCATGCTTGGGGACTGAATTGGATAATAACTTTAAGTTGTACATGGGCTGAGAACATCCCCTGAAAGTTTCATCCTCCCAGCTTTGCTAGTTTCCGAGTCCGGCCAAAAAACTTCACGGGGCTGTTCGCGGGAAACATGCAACCTTGGGGGCTGAATTTAAAATCTTTGAGTTATATTTGGACGGGGAATGTAACCTCAAAATTTCAGTTTTCTGTCTTTCGTCGTTCCCGAGTTATCGATTTTCCTGTCAAAACTTTCACCCCTCGTACGCAGGGTCCAGACTTGCGTGAGGGTTGGTGCCGCAGTTCTGGGGTAGCACGTGGCCGGGGAACCTACTAACAAAATCTTGGGCTGGAACTTGCTTGGTTGTCGAGTTGAAATACCCGGACAGACGAACACACGCACAAACACACACACACACACACACACGCACACGCACACACACGCAAGGTCGTCGGGATATGCGTTTTTGCATGTATGCAAATTGCAAAAACGCATATTGGGAAGAGGCTGTCTGTGTGTGTGT